AAATGAAGAATGTCCTGAGACGAAACAATGTCCTGTCTTGGGGACACTGAAGGGCATCATGTTCTCTTTAATCTCTCTTTTCTTCCTTTTTTGGTAAAGGTAGCAAAGAACCACCTGAACACATTTTAATGCAAGAAAGGAGTCATTACAGAAACTAACACTGATGTTGCATGTGTGTGCATTTAAACATCTATCCATTCAGAGGCCATATTCGGGTAGGAATTACTTTCCAGATGAGGTTTATTTTCAGATGATGAGAGGTTATATCTTCTGAAGCATTTTTATGAGCTTTAATTCTTGTTTTAAAAAATTTATTGGACTATAGTTGATTTACAATGTTGTGTTAGCTTCAGGATTCAGTCATACATTTACATGTATTCAGGGCTTCCCAGGTAGCTCAGCTGGTAAAGAATCTGCCTGCAATGCAGGAGACCCTGGTTTGATTCCTGAATCGGGAAGATCACCTGGAGAAGGGATAGGCTACCCACTCCAGTATTCTTGGGCTTCCTTGGTGGCTCAGCTGGTAAAGGTTTGATCCCTGGGTTGGGAAGATCCCCTGGTGGAGGGCATGGCAACCCACTCCAGTATTCTTGCCTGGAGAATCCTATGGACAAAGGAGCCTGGTGGGCTGCAGTCTATGGGGTCATAAAGAATTTGACATGACTGAGTGACTAAGCACAGAACAGCACATATATATATTCTTTTTCGGGTTCTTTCCCCATATGGGCGATTAGAATATTGAGCAGGGTTACTTGTGCTTTTGAGCTTTAATTCTTCAGGCACTCTTCAGGAGGGCTTCTGTATGGTTCTTGCTCCTAGAAATGGAGGCCAAGTGCAGCTGATGGCAGTCATGCTGCTAGCCTGAGTACTGGGATGAACTCAAGAAGTGTCTACTTACCCATAACCACTCTGGAATGTCACAAGAAGAAGAAAGAAATTTCCATGTTGACATTTTGATATGGATAGTTCTTTGTTGTGAAGGTTGTCCTATGTCTTGTAGGATGTTTTGTAGCATCCTTGGCTGCAACTGCAAGATGCCTATAGCACCATCACCTCTTCCATTTGTGGCAAACAAAAATGTCTCTATTCTTTGCAAATATGGGGAAAATTGTCCGCAGTTGAAAATCACTCATTGTTAGACTGGCTAGTTTAGAAATTGCTGCCTGTAAGAGGGACACTGCCTTACTATAACTCATGAATTATAGCATTCACCTAGGGGTCAGGTAAAGGAAAGTGAGTAAAATAACATGGAGGGCTGGAAGGTGGTGACCATTTTTCTCCCATGGCAGTTGGTAAAACCATTGCCTGTGCTATGGAGTAGACTGAACACTTTCTTACAAAGCCTAAAAGCACAGGGATAGTGTTTAGAAAGAAGCAGACTGTCAGCATGTTTTGGCTGTTACATGCAGTTTTAAGCAAACAATGAGCATAGTCAGGAAATATTGGACAATCTGCTTGTTGTCTGCAATCTAAATTGGCCAATAGACCAGGAAAGGTGAGGGAGGCCAAGAATATGAGAGCAGAGTTGAAAAAGCAAACTGTCTCAATATCACAAATAGCAAGAGAAAGAAGGCCACTCGGAATTTTTCTCAAAATCTCCCATGTGGACTTTTCAGATAAAAATATGGGAAGGTCACAGGCAAAGATGTGATTATAGGTATTGCCTCCCATCACTGCCTACATTTTTCAGGGGGCCACAAATTAACCACGCTTAAAATGAGGAAGAGGGAAATGGACCCAGCAAAGAATCCAGTGAATTAAAAGCAAAAGTCAAAGGATTAAGAACTATAGCTAGAAGAGATTTGGGGGTGAGGTTCTTTTGACATGAGAGATAGATGGGCTTCTGGGCTGGACAGCTGGGGCGTATCAAATGGAATAAAACTGAAGCTTTGTTCTCACCCAGACACTCTGAGGACAAAGCTAGTGGCAGAAGCTGAGCTCTATTGCAATGAAGAGATAAGATGCCACACCTGAGGTCAAGGAAAACTTCCCTGTTTGCACAAACGCGGGAAGGCTCACTGGGGATCAAAAAGCGAAGGGAGTGCCATTCCATGATAAATATGGATATGCAGCCATACACCTTTGTAGTGGGATCCGTCTTAGCAAAAAATTGCTCATGCATTTCTGGGAGAGTCTTAGGACCACTCAGGTGTGAAAAAAAGAAACAACTGGCCAAAGGTAAACAAAAAAATAGAAGGACTGTCTTATGTAAGTGATTTAAATCACCTCCTTACTGCACTTCTCATTCAGAATGCCCACATTCCTCTCCAGGTGTGTATTTCTACCCTGCTCTGACTTCAACTGTTAATTTGTGTGCTCTCCCAGTTGTGCTGTGTTTCTACTAATAAACTTTGTATCTGTTTTGCAGATTTTGCCTCCTTGAAACATTTTTGCTTTCAAAGAGGGGTAAGAGTCAGGGAATTTTGCATCTAGCCTCTAGCCTGGTGGTCTACCTGCTAGACTGGTGGCCAGCTTCAGTTCCTGGAAAGTGAAATAAGATCCTGCTTCGACTATTTGCCCTCCCGAGAACACTTTCACAGGGAATTAAATAGATCAGAAATCTTGATTCTTGAGAAAGTTGAAAAATCACTAGGTCTGGTCTTCAAAAGCTTTTAATTGTGTGATTATATAAAGAATTTCTTGGTTTCTTAAACTTCACCAGCAAGGATGATGCTAGGAAAGCTGTACAGTGGCCTAAAGTGGCCCAGATTTCCAATATCTGCTTCAAAAGATGGCATGGAAGATTAGGAAACAAGAAAACTTCCAGGATAATGAAACCTGGGGCCAAAAATAGACAATGAAGAAGTAACTTCCTTCCAAAGAAGAAAAATCAGAGTGTGATCAAGGAAATCCTCCTACTGTCAGGTCAGGGAGTTCTTGAAGTTTCTATCCAGCAAGGTTTATTTCATACATGTAATGAACCATGGATTTTTTTTTTAGATGAAGATTTTTATTGCAGTTAGTCCATTTCTTTTCCACTTTTGTATTATCAGGTGGTTATGTATGGGCTTCCCTGGTGGCTCAGAGGGTAAAGCGTCTGCCTGCAATGTGGGAGACCCAGGTACAATCCCTGGGTCGGGAAGATCCCCTGGAGAAGAAAATAGCAACCCACTCCAGTACTCTTGCCTGGAAAATCCCATGGACGGAGAAGCCACGGAGGTCCCAAAGAGGCGGACACGACTGAACGACTTCATTTTCACCTTTCATGTGTGCAGAGGGGCTTTGGAAGTGTAAGAAAAAGAAATGACTATACTTTTTTTAACTCACCAGACTGTTGGACTTCCCAATGGATCACATAGAAAAGGTTGTGTATCACCCAGGGGTACCCAGTTTTGAGTGGAATGCAGTAACTGAATAAGAAATTTGATTGAGGGACTTCCCTGGTGGTCCAGTGGCTGGGGCTCCATGCTCCCAATGCAGGGGGCCCGGGGTTCGATCCTTGGTCAGGGAAGTAGATCCCACATGCTGCAACTAAGACCCTACACAAAGAAATAAATAAAAACAAATATTGAAAAAAAAAAAGAAATTTGATTGTGCCTCTTGAAGGAGGCATGTTTTCTACATGTAGGAAGGGATACATGGATACTCGTACACAGATACTTGGGTGGCCAGAGTACCAGTCCATCAGAAACCATTACTTTTATGCCAGTATTTATTCCTATCCCTACTTCCTTTTAGTAACAGCATCTACTTCCTTTTAGTAACAGAGTTTTAGTAGAATACAAGTTGCTCGACTAGAGAGAATACATTCCCAAGCTTCCACTGCAGAAAAGGACTTATCACACAACTAACAGCCAAGAGAATAAGTGAAAAAAAAAATCTTGGAAATTTTTGGTATATAAAAGAAATACACTGTCTTGTACTAACTTTCCCTTTGGGCTGCCTATCAGGTAATAAAACTCCGACAGATACCTTAGGCATATGGAACTCCTTTATTGGGAGGAGCGAGTTTTTCACAAGATGACCTCATGGAGAAGAGAGCACCTATTTAGCCCAGACTTCTATGCAAGAGAATAACAGGTTATAATCTTGCTTCAAATACTACACTGTTCATTTTCACTCTTAATTTGTTAACAGCATTGCCCTGGACTAGCCCTTGGTTCACAGAATTAAGCAAAATATTCTCCAGTAAGCATTTTCATTTCTTAGTATTTTATTATACTATTTTCTAATATGGAAGTGCTTTCACATCTCTACTTTCCCCCATAACTAAACTACATATGTGTACTACTTTTCCCCATAACTAAACTATATATACGCACATATTTTTATCTCAAAAACCCAATTTTAAGATTTAACAGCTATGTTATCTATTTATTAAATAATACCAGCTTTAAAAATAAAGCAATTACTTATTTATTTAAAATCTGGATTTAATTTTTAGTTCCCATTCTAACAGGTATGCATGTGTACTCTTGTATATCTGCACACACAACTATATTTCCTTCCTTGGGTTTAATTTTTTCCCCTTTTAATTTCTAAGGTTTAATGTGTATCTTTTATTTCTCTTTCTTATTTAGAAAAAAATTTCCCTTAGCAGAGCTTTAATGGTTCCCACAAGTTCTTTAATGTATTTACGTTTATCAGTTTACTTGGACTCTTTGTTTAATAATTTGCTTCTATCCTACCCTTCCTCAGCAACCTTTTTTTGTCTTGTTTCCATGGTTCAAGTAGTGAAACAATAATAAAGTTGGTCTAAAATTAAGAGAGAGAGCTTCAGCTTATTCAACTCACTTTAATAAGTAACTCACTTTCTATGAATCACAACGGTAAAGTTCAAATGAGAACTTGAAGAGAGTAAGCAAATGCATGACATAACTAAAATGAGTTGCGTTGCTATGCTGATGTTAAGAGTTTCTGATGGTCGACCCATCCTTTGGTCATATTGCCTGAGTTTTGATTTAAAGGTTCATTTTAACAAAAGTTGAGTTGAGATGTGAAAGCACTAAGTTGACTTACAGGCTGTGGACAGAAAAGAGTAGGAAGGGACACTTTGTCAACTACAGGTTGCTGAGGGCATTCACTCCAGGAAGGACTTTACCTTCCAGAAGCTCTAGACTGGCACCTCCTCCAGTGCTCACGTGACTGACTTTATCTTCAGTGCTCCATTTGGCACAGCAAGTAGCAGTGTCTCCACCTCCTATAATGGTGATACAGCCCTTGGAAGTGGCTTTCACAACTTCATCCATGAGGGCTTTCGTTCCTTTAGCAAAAGCATCCCATTCAAATACCCCTACAGGTCCATTCCACACAATTAACTTGGCTCGCTCCACCACATCTGCATACTTCTTACTGGTCTCAGGACCACAGTCCAAACCCATCCAGCCAGCAGGTATCCCTGATGCTACAGTGGCTTGGCCAACCTTAGCATTCTCCTCAAACTTGTCAGCAGTGACAAAGTCAACAGGAAAGGTAATGTTCACACCATTTTTTCCAGCTTTGGCCATAATTTCTTTGACAATCTTGGCTCCCTCTTCATCGAACAAGGAAGCACCAATCTCCATGTTGTTCAATACCTTAAGGAAGGTGTAAGCCATCCCCCCACCAATAATCATCTCATTGACTTTGTCCAGCATATTTTTGATGAGTTGGATCTTGTCTGCCACTTTGGCTCCACCGAGTATAGCCAGAAATGGTCTCTCTGGGTTTTCCAAGGCTTTGGCAAAGTAATCTAGCTCCTTTTTCATCAGGAATCCAGATACCTTCTGGGGAAGATTCACTCCCACCATGGAACTGTGGGCCCGGTGAGCTGTGCCAAAAGCATCATTGACATACACATCCCCTAGCTTGGAGAGGGATGCTCGGAAGGCTTCTATTTTATCTGGCTCAGCTTTAAGTTTATTTCCAGAAGGATCTTGGCCCTTCCCTTCTTCTTCCACATGAAAGCGCAGGTTTTCCAGCAAGATGACTGTACCCGTGGCTGGGCTGGCGCAAGCCTTCTCCACTTCCGGACCCACACAGTCCTTTAGGAACAGAACGTCCTTGCCCAACAAGGATTTGAGTTCAGCAGCAACAGGCTCCAAGGAGTATTTATCAGGCATCGGCACACCATCAGGTCTACCTAAATGACTCATAAGCACGACTGACTTGGCTCCATTATCCAGACAGTACTTGATGCTTGGGAGAGAGGCCTTGATTCTTTGGTTGTTTGTAATCTGGTTCTTCTTCATGGGGACATTGAAGTCAACTCTCATGACGACTCGCTTCCCTTTCACATCCACTTTGTCCAAAGTTAACTTCTTAGAAAGAGACATCTTGATGATACAAACACAGGTTAACACATAGATCCCGGTGTTGAAGAGAACCACTGGACTGCTGGTGAGATGTTGGGTGGGTGGTGTTTCCTAACGCCTTTCCTCTTGGCCTGCCCCTTTCTTCCAGCAGTAACTCTCCCACGAGGCCAGCCATGATTGGACCGGGGAAAGGAAACCGGCTTCGCGATTTGTCAATGGTCCAGTCAGTCTGAATTTGGAGTGTGCTGACTCGTGCAGATTCTAACTGCCGGCGCCGAGGGTGAACCTGGTACTGGCGGCTTGGGGGTGACTATTGAAGAAGTGAAGAAGCTGGAGTTAGAATGATTCTGAGGTATACGCCTCCTGCTGGTTCTTTCCCACATCCCTTTCAACAATTGTTCTTATTCTTTTAAAAGGAAAAAAAAAATGCCCTCACTTCTGTCAGATCCTGATTATATTCAGGGTAAAAACTTGTGCAGCGCCCCATTAAAGGAAAGATTTGAAATAATGGGTCTCTGACACTTTGTTTATTCAAGGCAATATAATATGCTTCTGTTTTATTCCTTATCTTGACAGATATCTTTGTTAAGAGCATAGTTTTGTGTTCGACTTTGGCTTTAGGTATATTCTCGGGTGTGGGATGGGAATAGCATATTATCGTTACCTTGCTTTTTCCATTCTCAGACTACTGTGAGGGAACGACGGTGGCTTCTTCAAGAGAAGCCCGTAAGATCATAGCAAAGGGATGCCAGTAAAGCACTCAAGGTCGTGGTGACGTTTCTTTCAGGCTACAGAATTATGATGAAGCTCCTTACCTTTTTGTCTCTCCTCTCCCTCTGTTTCACTAACAGCATAACTTCAAAATTCATCTGAAAAGAGCATGGTTTCATGAGGATGAAAACATCTATTTGAGTTGAAAATGAGTGAGGGTTTTTATTTTTGGAGCAAGTATATGTGGCTGATTGGTTTAGGTATAAAAACTGTGTTACTTTCTACTCAGTTCAGAATGAATTTGAAAATAACTCATTAAGAAGTTCCCTGGTAGTCTAGTGGTTAGTATTCTGGAATTTCACTGCCATGGCCTGCTTCAGTGCCTGAGATCCCACAAGCTATAACTCATGCAGTAACATTGTCTGTAGATTAGCCAATGAATACATTTTAACAGTTGTTAAATGTATACATTGTAATAATTGGTTGATTTTGAGAACTCAGCATAAGAAAACGTTGTGGAGGAATATATATCAACATATATTCAACATATGGCAAGACATCCATAATTTCTGTGCAAGATGGAAACATTTGCCATAGATGCTGGTTATCTGTTTCTTGTCTAGTCTTGGAGATTTCCTTTAATCCTTAATCCTTTAAGTAGATTTCCTTTAAAGGACTTCCCTGGTAGTTCAGACGGTAAAGTGTCTGCCTACAATGTGGGAGACTCAGGTTTGATCCCTGGGTGGGGAAGATCCCCTGGAGAAGGAAACGGCAACCCAGCTACCAAACCTACAGGAGGCCTATGGGAACCTAAGATTATTGAGCTCTTGTGATTCTTAAGGCAAGACGCGTGGAAAGGGGGGCCAGAAAGGGAGAAGGAAAGGGAGAAGTCCAAAACCGAGTAAGAGCTGTTGGACTACTGTTGAGGATTTTTGTTGCAAGTGTGACCAGGAGAGAATTAATAGAAACAGCAGCAAGGGTGTACAACTCGTGAGCTTTGATGAGTAAGTTCTGGGTTCCCAACTCAGCAAAAAAAAAAAAAAAGTCAAGTGAGAAAGAAACAGAAAAAAAAAAAAAAAAGGGATAAAGAAGGCCTGCACCAGAAGCATTAAACCAGTGCCTTGGAATTGGTTCTAACTCTGTCTTATTGTAGAAGAATGTGAGGATGGTGCTGGGGTTAGATTAAAGTGAGGAGTCAGGAACAGTTATACTTCAGTTTGCCAAGCTCTCCTTTCAACTGATGATATGAAGATAGACGTTATTAAAGTGGATGAACTGTAACATTTCCTAGAGAACAGATAATACCATAGTGGAAATAGCAATAAGGAAGAGGGAATCACTGCAATGTAAGAGGTTTTTTGTTTGATATTTTCTTCCAGTTTCAACACATGCATACACACACAAATGTGATTAGCACCGGAGTTTGGCTCACCCTGCTGATGGTAGTAATCAAGGCAAAAAAAGTATTTATAGGGGGAAAATTCAGTATATCTGAGTGCTCCCACCCTAAAAGAGAAAGGCAATAAGCAGCACAATATACTCACAAGTCAAATTCATGAGAATTAGACACAAGATTAAAATAAATGGGAAAATAATCTTAAAGCAAAAAAGATAATGTAAGTAGGAAGGCTGATGAAGCAGTTAAAAAGCATAAACACTGGAACACATTGGACATAAAAGATGTTGAAACGTATAACTCGAAATGATAGGTTGCATAGTAAAATAGATAAAAAAAGTAAAGAATGAATTAGTGATCAGATAATTTGTGGAGGAATCATTACATAATACATTAAAAAAAGACCAAGAGGAAAAGGGTAAGGACAAAGCCAAGGTGTGTGGGAACTAACAATTGTTTATACATCACAGAGATGTCATAAAGGGATAGAGAGAGCATGAAGGTGATAGAACAGTTGAAAAAAGTGATATCCTATAATTGAATAAACATGTTACATCTCAGGTTAAAAGAGCCCATAACATAGTACAAACAGACTTGAAACAAACACATACTCTGGAAACAATATTTAGGAACATCTATATCAAGAAACAATTTTTTATAGCTCTACTTATTGTTTATTTATTTACATTTATATATAATTGACATCTAACATTGTATTTGTTTCAGATGTACCACATAATGATTCAATATATGGGTATATTGCAAATCGATCGCCACAATGTCTAGTTAACACCTATCACCACACACTGTTACAAATGTTTTTTTTTTCCATCTATTTTTATTAGTTGGAGGCTAATTACTTTACAATATTGTAGTGGTTTCTGCCGTACATTGACATGAATAAGCCATGGATTTACATGTGTTCCCCATCCTGATCCCCCCTCCCACCTCCCTCCCCACCCCATCCCTCTGGGTCTTCCCAGTGCCCCAGCCCTGAGCACTTGTCTCATGCATCCAACCTGGACTGGTGATCTGTTTCACACTTGTTAATATACATGTTTTGATGCTGTTCTCTTAGATCATCCCACCCTCGCCTTCTCCCCCAGAGTCCAAAAGTCTGTTCTATACATCTGTGTCTCTTTTTCTGTCTTGCATATAGGGTTATCGTTACCATCTTTCTAAATTCCATATATATGCATTAGTATACTGTATTGGTGTTTATCTTTCTGGCTCCAGTTTTATCTATCTCATTAGAACTGATTCAAATGTATTCTTTTTAATAGCTGAGTAATATTCCATTGTGTATATGTACCACAGCTTTCTTATCCATTCGTCTGCTGATGGGCGTCTAGGTTGCTTCCATGTCCTGGCTATTATAAACAGTGCTGCGATGAACATTGGGGTGCACGTGTCTCTTTCAGTTCTGGTTTCCTCGGTGTGTATGCCCAGGAGTGGGATTGCTGGGTCATATGGCAGTTCTATTTCCAGTTTTTTAAGAAATCTCCACACTGTTCTCCATAGCAGCTGTACTAGTTTGCATTCCCACCAACAGTGTAAGAGGGTTCCCTTTTCTCCACACCCTCTCCAGCATTTATTGCTTATAGACTTTTGGATAGCAGCCATTCTGACTGGCGTATAATGGAACCTCATTGTGGTTTTGATTTGCATTTCTCTGATAATGAGTGATATTGAGCATCTTTTCATGTGTTTGTTAGCCATCTGTATGTCTTCTTTGGAGAAATGTCTGTTTAGATCTTTGGCCCATTTTTTGATTGGGCCATTTATTTTTCTGGAATTGAGCTGCAGGAGTTGCTTGTATATTTTTGAGATTAATCCTTTGTCTGTTGCTTCATTTGCTATTATTTTCTCCCATTCTGAAGGCTGTCTTTTCACCTTGCTTATAGTTTCCTTTGTTGTGCAAAAGTTTTAAGTTTAATTAGGTCCCATTTGTTTATTTTTGCTTTTATTTCCAATACTCTGGGAGTTGGGTCATAGAGGATTGTTGTTTTCTTGTGATGAGAACTTTTGTGATTTACTCTCTTAACAACTTTCAAATAGAGAATGGGTAAAGGAGATGTGGTATATATGTACAATGGAATATTATTCAGACATAGAAAATAAGGAAATTCTGTCATTTGCCACAACATGGATGATACCTAAGGGTATTATGCTAAGGGAATCAAGTCAAATAGGGAAAGAAAAAAATTGTTTTGAAGTTTATAGAATGAAAAAGCAGATCACACGCAAGGAAAAAGCTTCAGATTGAGAGTCCACTTATCACAATAAGCAAAAGACAACTTTTTCCCCAAACCTTTATATCTAGGCAACATATCATTTAAATAAAGTTAAATAAAGGTATTTTAAGTTCTAAAAAATCAGAATGTTAATCTCACTGAGGCTGTCTTTTTGTAAAAAAGTAAAGCAACTCGGGGCTGGTTTATTCTACCAGAATATTTAAATGAATTTGGTGAACTAAATAGTATTTCAGTCTTAGCAAAATTTGTCTGAATAAGTAATGATCACAATTTCTAGAGTTTTTAGTGTTATTATGAATGGTAACTTGGTTTTTATATTATTCCATAGTTACTGCCAGTATTGCAAAACATTGTTTATGTTGATAGGTTGATCTTATATTGGACTTCTTTACTGAAGTTTCTTAAAGAGAAAACTCAAGCAACAAACAAATGACTTAAGTGATCATTTAACCTCTAAATAATTAAACCAGTTTCTCTTTCCTTCTTTTTTTTCTATCATGTCTTAATCAAATTGTTGATAGAAATTCAGTAATATTTTGAACACTTGTTATAATATCAGGCATATTTCAGATACTCTTTGCTTTTTTGACAATTTATCTTCTTTGAAATTAGGATAATCCTGGTACTGAAGACATTTCACAGTAATTTTTTTTCTTTTT